AACTATGGAGCTCAGAGTTCATTCAGTCCAACTCCTCTTTTCACAGAGAAGCTAATTTACAATAAATCATTTAGAGAAAAGGTACAAGAGAACAGCACTGATTTAGATGATCTTTCTTCCTTACAAGACGAGGCAGGTCTGACCCAGCAGACAGAGAGGAATCTGGAGTTAGAAGACTAGCACCTAAGGCTCCCCTCCACCACTCACCCTCTAGGGGAAACTCAAGACAATCTCTTCACTTTTCTGGGCCTTCCTAAAATGAAGGGGTCCTCTCCAGCTCGGACATTTTCTGAGTCTGTGCTGGTTCTTTAGACGTTCTGTTCAATAGGCTCTGACTTACAATCATCCCAACAGCTCTGAATAAAATTGGATATGAAGTTCTATCAGGAAGTTTTAATCTCCAGGCTCTGACCTTTGCTCAGTTTCCCCACAGAGAGGCCAGGAATTCATTGTGCTATCAGGTCTTTGGGCTCTGAGCAGAGAAGGCATCATTCCTAGAAACACTGAGTCAGGTGCTTGCTTACAGACACCAAACACTGCTAGAAGAGTCCCTGCCTGTCAAACAGTATTTCCTCTCTACTCTGCTCTGCTGATGATCAAAAAGAAAACCACAGCGGCCAAGTAAGTGAATCTGTGATCTGCATCATCTTGTGGATCCTGGGCCAAGCTAAGGATTGATGTGAAGCTAACAGGTCTCTGGATGCTGTTCTCATAATGTACTCTCACAGTCTGCTCAGTGCAAACACCAAGACCCTCACTCTTCAGAAAGGCCTGGATCTATTTCCTGGATGATGTCCAACATATCTATACTGTAATATGTTTGCTGATAGCAACTCTGGCTAATTAGCTTCATGGGAGGGGAGAGGACTAAAAACCCTGTCAACAGATTTTTTTTTTTAAATTAGGCAAATGAAAAGAGTAAGAAAATATGGAGGAAGAGAACTAGAACGTATCCACCTCTCCACCTGTCTACTTCAGGAGGGAAATACACACTATCTGATGGCAGAAACCCTCTCCTACCTCCTCATAATAGTTCTCACCCCCTAAGCCACTTCATTCCATGGCAAAGCTGTCCTCTTCCCATGCACAAAATATTCCTGAAAAATTACATCCTGTACTATCCCACAATCATAAATCCCCCATGAATCATGAATATCCAAAGCACTTTATCTTGAAACAGAAGGGAGAAGTAAAATAAACTAAAAACACTTGTATTTTAAAAATCAACTTCAGGGGGCAGCTAGGTGGTGCAGTGGATAGAGCACCGGCCCTGAAGTCAGGAGGACCTGAGTACAAATTCGGCCTCAGACCAAACACTTGACACTTACTAGCCGTGTGACTTAACCCCAATTGCCTAATTAAAAAAATAAATAAATAAAAAAGACAAAAAAATCAACATCAAAAGTACAGAATTGGGGGAAAATAGCAATTTGTGTGGAGAAAGATGAGGGTATTTTGGTGGGCCACAAGTTCAATAAGTGAAAAAGGGCAACAAAGCTACCCCACCAGATGATGAAGCACTTATATAGCATCTACTGTGTGCCAGGCACTGTGCTAAGTGCTTTACAAAGATTTTTTCATTTGAGCCTCACAACAACCCCGTGAGGAAGGTGATATCATATCCCCATTTGACAGTTGAGGAAACTGGGGCAGACAGAGGTTAAGTCACTTTCCCAGGGTGACACAGAGAGGTCATAGAGAGTAGAGGACTTTTAAGATGTTAAACTGAGGTATCATACTAGAGCTCTTGGGAAAACAAATCCTGGCAGCTTCAGTTACAGCTGGTGGCCCAGAGCACAGAGAGCTGGGCCTGGAGTCAGGAAGTCCTAAGTTCAAATCCTGCCTTAGCCAATGACTAGCTGGGTCACTCTGGGCAAGTGACTTAACCTCTGCCTGCCCCAGTTTCCTCAACTGTCCAATGGCGATAATAATAGCACCTACCTCACAGGGTTGTTGTGAGGCTCAAATGAAAAAAAATCTTTGTAAAGCACTTAGCACAGTGCCTGGCACACAGTAAGCGCTATCTAAATGCTTATGCTTGTTCCCTACCCTGCTTCTCCCACTTAACGTTTGAGCTGTGGCACCGGATTTTATTCAGCACCAAAGACTGCAAGGGGACACACACCGAGCCACATTTTGGCCCCATAAAGAAATAATTATGTTCTTCCTTTTTCTAGCCCAAGAGTAACCCAGGTTATCTCCATAGATGACAACAATTAATTAGCTCTTGGCACATAATTTATCATGAATACTTCTACTGTGTTAACTTGTATTATATTTATTAGCACTAGTAAAATGCACATCCACAAAAAGAAACAACGTATTAGCAATTTCAAGTCCTAATCCCTGGCAAGCACCTCAGTCACGCTAGCAAAATGTTTTTGCCTGAGCTACTGAATAACTAACAAAACAGAGTGATGAGCCTGATATCCTAGTTCCTTTTTTTGATGAACTAAGCAAAGGTCGGGCAATTATTCAATCATTGCAACAAGTATTTCTAAATGACTACTCTGCTAGATGCTGCACTTTTCATCCTGATGATCCCACAGGCATCTCAAATTCAAAAGAACCCATAATCCTTCCCCCAACCCAATTCTCCTGCCCAGCTTCCAAATTTCAGTTGAGGGCCCCCCATCCTTTCAGTCACTCAGGTCTGCAACCTCAAAGCCTCAACTCTATCACTTTCACTCAGCCCATAGTCAATGAGCTGGTAAGTCTTAGTGACCCATCTCCTTTTTCCAACTTTGCTCCTTCTCCCTCCTCACAAGGTCACCACCCTAGGGCACTGCCTCCTCCCCTCTGCCCCAGATGACCATGAGAGCCTGGTCTCCCTGCATCCAGTCTCTCCCTCTCCAGGCTACCTTCCACAAGCTGCCAAACTGATGTTCTGAAAGCACAGGTATGACCACGTCTGCTCTCTGCTCAAGAAGTTTTGGCAGCCGCCTCTTGCCTCTACAATAAAACACAAACTCCTCTGGCATTTGAAGCCCTTCACAATTTGGTTCTAGCCTAGCTTTCCAGGCTTATTTACTCAGTACACTCCATTATTCTGCATTCTAGCCAAAGTGGCCCCCTTGCTGTTCCTCATTCACTATGTTCCATCTCCCATCTCCACTCCTTTGCCCAGGCTGTTTCCTATGCCTGGAATGCACTCCCTTTCTCACCTCAGCCTCATAAAATGCCTGGATTCTTTCAAAGCTCAGCTCAAATGCCAGCTCCAAAGTGAAAGCTTCCTGGATTCCTCCTTCCCCCGCTATGAATACTCTTCCCCCACACTGCTCTGTATACAAGGTAACTGCATATTCTGATTTTATTTATCTTGGGGACTCACTTCTCCTAATCAGAGCACAAGCTCTGTGAGAGCAAGGATTGTTTAAATTTTGGCTCTGTATCTCTAGGGCCTAGCATAGAGCCTGGGCCAGAAGATAAATGTAATGGAAAGAAGATAAATAAATGGAAACAAAATCCTGGCCTTCAGGAGCTTATGATCTTGTATGCGTAGATAAGAAATATGCACACAATATAAAGCAAATCAGAATATAAGTATGCTCTGTGAATATACTATGGTGTTCTTCCATCAGAAGAGGAAGAAATAATGAGAAAACAAGGTCTGGATAAACTTCTCTGTGTAATTCTCTCTTAAATTCAGAGACAGCTAGATAACATGGTGGATGCTATCTAGAGAACAGGGCCTGGAGTCAGGAAGATCTAAGTTCAAATCCAGACTCACAGACACTTACTAGCTGTATGACCCTGGACAAATTACTTAATCCGTTTGCCTCAGTTTCCTCAACCACATAATGCAGATAATAGCACCTACCTCCCAAGATTATTGCAAAGATCAAACAAGAAAATATTTGTAAAGTGCTTAGCCCAGCACCTGGCACACAGCAGGTGCTTAATAAATGCTTGTTTCCCTCCTTCCTGAATACTCCAGTGCTGATTCTAAATTTAAGTTACTCCAATACTTCAAGGATGTGATCTCACCAACGCAGGTTCTCCCTCAACCAAAATAGATGAACCCTCCACTAGACTTGTGAAAAAACAGTTGTCCAGAGTTGCTCCTAAAAGTTCATCCACGTGCAAGCAGTCTGAGGATACGCCCCTCTCACGGAGCAAGGCAAGCCTGGAGCCAGAGAACCTGAGCACCCCCAGGCCTTTCACACAAGTCTTTCCAGGACTGGCCACAGTCAGAGCAGCCTAAGCTGTCCCTCACTGGCATCCCCTTCAGGACCCCCGAGAAGCCTTCATTCGATGACGTGGCAGTGGAGTCAGACTTTAATGAAGGGAACCGATAAAGGCTACAATAAAGAGAAGGCCAAATTCTGCCAGGCAAGCTACTCCAGGTACAGAAGTAGTCAATTAGAGGAATTAACTCCTTGAAATCAACTCACAGCAACCAGGGAATAGTGGGAAGAGCAATGGATTCAGTTAGATGACCAAGATTAGAGTCCCAGTTCTGTTACTTATTACCGATGAGATCGTGAGTAAATCAGTTAACCTCTCTGAGCCTCAGTTTCCTCATTTACAAAATGGAGATATTTGTAATAACCCCTCATAGGGCTGTTGTGAGGGGCTCTATTTTCTCCTACGCAACATGAGAATAACATTTGCCAAAATATTGTACAGGGCTGTTACGATGATCAGATGAAATTATACAGGATTAATTTCCTCATCTGTAAGATAAAGAGATTAAGTGGCCTCTAAGGCCCATGCTAAGATCCTACACATATGTAAAGTAACCACGAACATCAGTCATTTTTATTTTCCTATGAGGATGCCACAGTACCCTGATTATTTGGAAAGAATAAACGAACATACCAAAAAATCGCTTCCTAAATAAGTTACTTTGAAGAATCTGGTCCATTCTATAGTTTTCACATAAAGGCTTTCAAATAAATAGTTTACTATATCATGTATACCAAGGAAGGAAAGTTACTCAACAAAATCCAGGAAATCAGGGAACCAGAATGGAATAGTAGCAGAAGTGACTGACTCACCAGTACAGAATTCTTTGCTTGTATTCTGGGGCACCATAATCCGCCTGTAGACAATAGGCTCAGACTCTAATATGTTTTCATCATGGCGGTACCGAGCGGGTCTTTCATTGGGGGTGCCCCGGGAGCGGGTACCACTCCTTCTCTCGTAAGTGTCAATCTCTTCAAATACGGCTGCTTTGTCAAAAAGGGCCAGGTTTCCTTCAAAGTCAAAATCTGTGTCTGGGATCTCTTCAATGTCATCCCCAAAACATTCATCATCCTTATTCTTCATCTGGCCATTCTTCAGGCCACTTTTCTTTGGAGTTGCCTGATTTGGATGTCGACTGCTAGATGACCCTAGAAGAAAAACCAAAACCATCAAATCCATGTGGGTAATTGGCCAAATAGTATTCTGGCCTATCCCTTAAACTTTAGCACCCTCTGCACAAATGGGATCCAAGAAACAAATAACCAGGAATAGTTGCTAGACAGTTCTTACATCACATGAAATTCACATCATGCAAATTTGACTTTACTTAAGGAATTCGAAAGAAATCCACATTCCCAAAATCCCCTATGTTAACTTCACAGTACAGCACTGTACTCCCACTCTTCATTCCTGCTCCCTGGCTGGGTGGTTTGTGGCCTCTCCCCCCCTCCCAAAAAAAAAACCTCCAAGTAAAAGCAGAAGAATGGACATGGGAGAGACTGTCATGGCTGATATCCTACCCCCAACTTGGCTTGAGACCTCCTTTGATGAGAGACCTTTGCCCTGCTCCCCGTTAGCTGTGTCCAGGCTTGGGTACTGTACGCCTGCACCCCTACCCCCACCCGAGTCACTTGTCCTCTCCTGTCTGTGTCCAGCCCCGAAGTGTCTGCCTCCCTGTGTTCTTCCTCTCAGTCCTGGGCAAGCCCCCCCTGTAGCTGGCCCCAGCCCCTAGCATTCCTGCTCTTGCTTCTCTGTCCATGCCCCTGGCATCTCCCCCACATTACTCCCCTACCTGCCTCCTTCCTCCATGGCTGTGGGCAAATTTGCATTACATAAAAATCACTTTATGTAGAGGTCTGCAGAATGGTCCACTCACATAAAGCAAGAACTATGTGTATTAAGTATTAAAATATGTCACCTTTTCAACAGTGTCTCTACCCAGCAGATCTAGAACTTTTTTTTTAAACATCCAAAGAGAATCTGTACAAAGTAGATGCAGCTCTTAGAAGAGGAGGCCAAGGTAACAGCAACTGAGTAACAAGACGTGCAATAAGAGTAATCTTTCATTGTCACTGCTCTTAGTTCTGCCCTCTGGAGCCAAGCAGCTCAACTACTGACTGTCCTTCAAAAACTTAAAGGCAACTACCCCACCCCACTTTTCCTCCCAAGTGTTCTCTTTTCTGGGCTAACACCATCCTCTCTGTCTCCATCGGATGGACATAAGGCATGATCTCAAGGCTGTTCAGGATGCTTCCCCAGGAGAGCTTCCAGTTTATGCTCATCTGTCCACATATCTGGAGCGGAAGCCCAGAACACAGCGTGGGCCTCCCAGCTGGGCTCTGGCCTTCCTTGGCCTCTTCTATTGAAGGTGCAGAGCAAGGGAGCTTCATGCTGCCAGATCACACAGAGGAATCACTCACACACCCTGCCCCTGCTCAGAGGAGTAGGACTCCCCAGTCACATCTTCCCTGACTAGCCCTTGAAAAGCTGACTTTTTGAACTCCAATGTCAGACTACACATTATCTTTATCCATTCATTCATTCAACAAGCATTTATTAAGTGCTGACTAAATGCCAGGCTCTGGGGATACAAAGACAAAACAAAATAATTCCTGCTCTCAAGGAGCTGACATTCTATTGGGGGGAAAACCCCAAGTATACAGATACAGGAAATTATATACAAAATATATGCAAAGTAGATACAAATCGTTCCCAGGCGGCCCTAATAAGGGAGGGTTGGGGAGCAATGGGGAGAACTTGGCTTGGCTTCTTGTTGGAGCTAGCATTTGAGCTGAGCTTTGAAGGAATCCAGGCATTTTATGAGGCTGAGGTGAGGAAGGGAGTGCATTCCAGGCATAGGAAACAGCCTGGGCAAAGGAGTGGAGATGGGAGATGGAACATAGTGAATGGAGAACAGCAAGGGGGGGCCTTGGCTGGAATGCAGAATAATGGAGTGTACTGAGTAAATAAGCCTGGAAAGCTAGGCTAGAACCAAATTGTGAAGGGCTTTAAATGCCAAACAGAGGAGTGTGTTTTATTGTAGAGGCAAGAGGCAGCTGCCCAAGCTTCTTGAGCAGAGAGCAGACATGGTCATGCCTGTGCTTTCAGAACATCAGTTTGGCAGTTTTGTGGAAGGTAGCCTGGAGATGGAGAGACTGGATGCAGGGAGACCAGCTCTCATGGTCATCTGGGGCAGAGGGGAGGAGGCCCTGCCCTAGGTCACAGGGTGGAGGAGTGTAAAGAGCTCAGGGACTCCTCTGAGGTGTCTGAAGGGATAGCGGTGATTGCAACTACATGGTCTCTTTTCAACTGAAACACAGGACGACTGCCTTTCCATCACAAAGAAGAGTCAGCGGGTAAGCTGAGTCCTTGAGTTCTGGTCTAAGTAAGAACAGCAGGGGACCACCTCTCCAAGGTACTTAAAACTCTGAGTCTTGAACTTACTGATTGTCCTGTGAGCCATCTGGGGCAGACATCGTGCTCTCGGCATCCTGTTTCTGTTTGGTTTTCCTGCTTATGTTTTACCACACAGAAGCACTGAAGCTCAGAGAGGACATTATTAATGAAAGGGACAAGGGAGGAGCTCTCGTTCAACACGTGATCGAGAGCTGGAAGGGTTCTTATGGGTCACTGAGTTCAACATACTCTTCCTTTCCAAGTTCTTCAGATGCAGAGCAGAAGAAGATCAGAACTGAGAGGAAACAAACTAGGAGACAACAAGTTGTACAGTGCTGACGAGTCTGCGTGACCCAGATTTCAGCTGTGCCTAGTACTAAATGCCAGATGCTTCAACTTCAACAGATTTAGTGGCAGTTTCCCAACTCTAAATTAAAGATGAATTTCAAGACTTCTCCTGGCTGTCGAGATGGCAGCTTCCTGCTGGATGACTAATTATCCTTTTCGGCTACTTGAGAATTTAAGTGTTTTGTTCTTTGTACTTCCAATGAAAGGATTCCAAATGTTCACACTATATCTTTGATATTGATACTTTGGAAATTCACTCAGAGGCTATGAAGGATACTACAAAGGTCACTGGGGTTGGAACTAGAGGATTTGGGTTCAGATCTCACTTCTGCTATTTACTACCTGTTTGACCCTGGGCAATTCCCCTAAGGTGAGCCTCAGAATCTTCATCTATAAAATAAGAAGGTTGGAACAGGTAACTACTAAGGTTCCTATTAGTTTAATGCATAATATGCTTCACCATATACACAGATGGTGATCACAAATACAATGGTTTAAAAATTATTCTAATCATTACCTGTGTAAATGTCTGAGACAAGTCAAAAAATGTAAAATACAATCACGCACAATGTTCCCAACTTACTAACACCCAACGTTCCAACACCCTTTAGGTGCAAATGGGTTCCCGAATTCAATACACTTGGCAAATGACTGATAGAGTAGTGTACACTCTCAACATGGTAAGTAAGTGTGCCTCATTTGGAGTCAGAGGTCCTGGCTTCCAAGTCTAGCCTGGCTATTTGCCACTCCTGTGACTTCAGACAAGACTCTCCTCCTCTCTGGGTCTCAGTTTCTTCTCTGTAAAATGAAGAAGTTTGACTAGGTGATCTCTGAGATCCATCTCAGCTCTAAATATAAGAACCTAAGTGTCTACTTCTTTCTGCCAAAACTCTTTCCTACAAGTCAGAAGACCCACTTCCCCTATCCCACTACTGCAAAGGTAGGGGAGGAGGAAGAGAAAAGACCAGTGCTTCTGGATTTCCTGTATATAACTGAGAAAGCATTTTCCACAGCAAATGTAGTATAAATGTGATGATTGTGTTTTGTTAAATAGAACTATTAGTACCATTCTGCTGGCACACAATGGGTTAAATGGGCTTTGGTAAATGGTCTGAGTTCCTAAGCACTATTTATAACAGTTTCTATGGGAAACTACATTTATCAATTTATAGAAAATCTTTTAGAATACCATTATTAGTAAGCTACAGACAGCTTATCATAAATAACAATACAAAACTGGTGACAAGCCAACAGCACCAGAAAAAAATTCACCATTGAGGCATTTCCTAACTTAAGGAATAGCTGGTCTGGTCAGCATGTCCTGAAGGACGTATGGTAGTAATTTGGGGTTAAATTCAAAAGAATATAGCATCAAGAGACAGCAAGGTAATAATAATTTCACTGCACTGTGCTCATCACACTACATGCTCAGAACCACAGTGTTCAGTCATGTGCTCCACATTTGAAGAAGGGTTTTATCAAAATGATATGTCCAGAGGAGAGTGGCTGAGGCTGTTGACGGGGGACCAAGCTATGTTTTATTTGGAATAGTTGGAGAAACTGAGAATGTTTGACCAGAAGATAAGACCTAAGGAGACAACTACTTGAAGAGCTGCCATGTGGAAGAGAGATTAGATTTACTCTATGTAATAACAAACTCTTCCCCTCCCTCCAGAAAACAAGTAACAGCAATGACTAGAAATAACAGAGAGCCTGATTTTCAGCTTACCATAAAGGAGCCACTTTCACCAACAACAGAAATGTAAACCTTATGAAAGAGGTCCCATAACAGGGACTGTGACCTGCCAGGGTATAGGCAAGGTAAGGCCTGTACCAGGTGGGATGTCAGGTTGAATGACCTCGGGAATCCCTTTCCACTCTTAAGATTCTCTTTAAAACTTGCAGCTCCATATACATGAGATGTGATTATTTTCACTAGCAGAGACACAAAGGGTATAATGAATAGAGAGACGACCAGGGAGTTGGGAAGACACAGGGCTCACTCTTGCTCTGCCGTTTAGCCTCTTAGTGAGTCAGGAACTCTCTAGGAAAATCTGTACTGGCAGAGGGAATTTCCTCACCAGTTCCCGATAGCAATGAAACTGGGGAGAAAAAGATCCTTACGAGGGAAAAATAAACTGACATTAACTACTACTACAGGCAAGTAAAGCACAGGTTCACTGTCTTGAGAGTTCAATGGTGTCACAAGCTAAAATAGTAAAATCCTCATCTTGTTCACCCTAGAGCAAGTCAAGTCAACAAGCACTGATTGAGCACTGTTATGTGCCAAGCACTGTGCTAAAACAGTCCCTGCTCTCCAGGAGCTCACAGTCTATGGAGATGACAACATGAAAACAAGATACAAACAGAATAAACTGAAGGCAATCAACAAAGAGAAGTGTAC